AATGGAGAAGATGGATTGACTATATTCAAAATAAAGACGGGACTAAGAAATTCCAGGTAGTTTATGACTGAAAAGGCGAGGAATGATATAATCTGTTTAGAGTTAGCCCAACAAAGAGGAGTTAAAACACAAATGAAAGAGGATACTAACTTTTTTTTAGTTCATTTTAAAATATGCTTGTTAAAGATTTATACCCTGTATTTGCTCTGGGAAGTCAGGGGAGGGGGGAATGTTGGGAGGGGGTTGGGTGGGGGAGGGGAGGTAAATATTTGTAAAAGCTTTTTTTTTAAAATTTTCAATAAAAAGAGTGCTTATAAATTGTGGGAGAACCAATCCAAAGGTTAAATGTAATGTAACATTTTATGTAACATTTTCAATTTAATGTAACACTTAATGCACCAGTATATCCAAATAATCAAATTGGCACCGGTTCTTAGGGCTTTAATGCCACTAGGGGCATTTTCACAGCTGATGAAAATCTAGCAGAGTTTGAATGTTTGAAATAATCCCATGAGTCAGAAATTCCAAATCAAGAGTCAAATGTATGCACTTGGAAAAAAAAACCTAAAGGTAAAGGTTCCCCTTGACATATGTGCTAATCATTTCCGAATCTAGGGGGCAGTGCTCATCTCCGTTTCAATGCCAAAGAGCCAGCGCTGTCCGAAGACATCTCCGTGGTCATGTGGCCGGCATGACTAAACGCCGAAGGTGCACAGAACACTATTACTTTCCCACTAAAGGTGGTTCCTATTTTTCTACTTGCATTTTTTACGTGCTTTCAAACTCCTAGGTTGGCAGAAGCTGGGACAAGTAATGGGAGTTCACTCCGTTTTGCGGCGCTAGGGATTTGAACTGCTGAACTGCCAACTGTCTTAGCCACTGAGCCACAGCGTCCCTCGAGAAGAAACTGCTGGGTTCTAATCAAAAATATTGTAGTAACACATTAACCGAATAGCAGATTTCATGAACTACAGATCTGTGGACCAGCAACAAAAAAAGATGGGAAGCATTCAAAACATCTGTGCCAGCCAATGCAGATCAAGCAATTGCAGAAATTGGGCATTAAGCTGGCAATTTTATGTCATTTCATTTCATAAAAATAAAAAAGAGTAGAATAAAAAGAAAGGCAGATCCTCCTAATTCCCAATGAGACAGCAAGATAGTTTTCCATCCTGCAAAGATGGCAAGATCATAGAAATGGAATAAAATGAAAAGCATTATTCAGAGGTGCGGTAGCCATAAGAAAGGTGTCAGAGGGAGGTCTGGCCCATAACTCTACTTTCACACTATAACTGAGCAGCTGCTTTCCAGCAAATGGTTTCGAGCAGATGAGAAGTTTAGGATCAAAGAAAGGATTCCATGTATCTCTGAACCAAGGTTTAGAGAAACCAAACTTTCTCAACCTCTGGGGTTTTTAAGAGGGTAGACACAAACTTCCAAAATCCTCCAGGCAGCCCAGATACATCCCTCTTAAAGGCCCAGAGGTTGAGAAACCGTGTTGTAGTGTGAGAGGTAAGGTTTGGTAGCATCAAGCTGGCGAGACCCACTTGTGATGCTCATTGGTGAAGGCGTAGAAGTGCTTCTCGGGGGCAGCAATGGCGTCCTTGATGCGGCCGTAGACGGCTGCGCTGCGCTTCCGCACCTCCTGCAGGACTGTCTGAGGGACGATGGCGTTCCCAATGGCTGCATCTTCCAGCACGTCGATCTGTGAAGGAGGAGGAGGAAGAAAGAGCAGGGAAGATAAGGACAAAGTAAAGAAGAGGAGGAGGAAGGAAGCAGAGGAGAAGGAGGGAAGAGGACGACGGAAGAAGGAAGAGGAAGGAAAAAGAGGAGTGTGGAGGAAAAGGAAGGAAGAAGAGGTGGAGAAAGGAGGAGGAAAAGGAGGGAGGAGGAGGAAGAAGAGGAGGAAGAGGAGGAGAAAGGGGAAAGGAGAGAAGAGGAGGAGAAAAAGAGAAAAGAAAGAGGAAGGAGGAAGAGAGAAGAGGAGGGAGAGGGGGAGGAAAAGGAAGCAAAAGGAGGAGGAAGAGGAGGAAGGAAAAGGAAGGAAGAGGATGGAGAGGAAGAAAGAGGAGGAAGGAAGAAGATAAGAAAGGATGAGAAGGGAGGAAGACGTCGTCAACCTGGGAAAGGAGGCCACGCGTAGAAGCCCTCCGAGGGAAATCCCGCCTCCAGCCGCACCTGGTGCAGCACCACGTTGGTGTCCAAGAGCAGATAGTGGGGCCGCGGGGCGAGCGGGCTGGCGGGGGAGTTTGGGGAGGCCTCGAGGCCGCGCTGGGGGGCCTCCCCGCCGCAGAGCGGGCAGCCCGGCACCCCGCAGGCCACGTCGTCGCGCAGGTAGTGCTCGCGGACCACCTTGAGGACTGAGCCGCCGCGCGTGCGCTTCAAGAAAGAGCGCGAGGTCAACATCGTCTCGCCGGGAACCCCGCCGTTCGAAAGGGAGCCTGCCCGCCGGAAAAAAGAAGAGCGCCGCTTCCGCTTCCGGCCGCTCTACCCACCCTCTCGACGGCGGGCCGGCTGCGCGCGTTGTGTTGCCATGGCCGCGACGCGGAGGGGGAGAGGAGGAGGAGGCGGTGCCGGTTCTCGCGCCTGCGCAGTCCAGCCTGCCGGTTGTTCTCCGGCCGAGCGGGAGTCTTCGTTCTCCGGCCGAGCGGGAGTCTTCGCCCTCCGCCGAGTGGAGGAAGGGCAGTGCCGTAAGTCGCCTTTCGTGGACCGGGACAGGCGTCTCGATTGAGAAATCGAACAGGTAAGCCTGACCGGACAGAAAGGCGAAAGCTCCCTCTTCCCGCACGCTGTCTCCCCAATCCGTTGAGCCAGAGTTCCTTATTTAACGGACTCCATGAGTCCGTTAAATCCGAAGATAGTCATTGGAGATGCTTTGAACTCATCCCTGCTTTTGGGCATATGACCGATCGCCTAAATCTGACCTAGATTTGCCAATGGTGCCATAGGTTTGACCCAGTGGGCTTCCCCATTGTGTCTGAGCCTTTCCAAAAGGGAGGGGGGGCAAAGTGTTCATAAACCTGAGCCTTAACCATGGTTTGTGGCTCTAAAGATTGCTTTGCTTTGCTGCTCTAACGGTAATATGTTTGTGAACAATGTGACCTATACGGGTTGTCCTCGACTTACAGCGCTTCACTTAGTGACCGTTTGAAGTGACAATGCAGTGAATATTGCATGTTTGGTTCTTGTCCAAGGAATTCTGGGAATAATCCTTGTGCTGTTCTGGTATCGGCATAGTTAGAGGCAGCCTAGAAAACAGATATAGTCCCTGACTTACAACAGTTTATTTAGTGACCGCAGTTACAACTGAAAAAAGTCACACGTGACCGTTTAACAACTGTTGCAGCATCCCCTACATTCATGTGATTTACATTGGGATGCTTTGACTTCTGACTCATATTTATAATCCATATTGGATTGCAGCTGCCCATCTTTATTATTTCTATAGCTTCACATCTCAAGAAATGATTCTGGACGGTGTACGTTACTTCTATATATTGAAAAAAATCTGGAATTAGTTGGAGGCCCTGTGGGAAAAAAGAGAAGGTTAAAATTGAGACTGGCATTCTGTCTGCAAGACGCCAGTTTCTTCCTTTTTCGATTAAAAATATATCAAGTGGAGAAAGGAGACTGTGAGGTGCCAATGAATGTGGGCATAGGTCTGTAGCTGCCCCCCAAAATGCCAGCTTGGGAGCCCTAGATACAGATTTCTGTTTTAGACAGAATTTAATATTTGTCGTGTTCTATTTATTACACAAGGTGGTTCAGTGGGTAAGACGCTGAGTTTGTCAATCAGAAAGTTCGGCGGTTCGAATTCCTAGCACCGCATAACTGACTGAGCTCCCATTACTTGTCCCAGCTTCTGCCAACCTAGCAATTGAAAAAGCACATAAAAGATGCAAGTAGAAAAATAGGAACCACCTTTGGTGGGAAGGTAACAGCACCTTTGGTATTTAGTCATGCTGGCCACATGACCACGGAGGCATCTTCGGACAGCGCTGGCTCTTCGGCTTTGAAACGGAGATGAGCACCGCCCCCTAGAGTCGGGAACGACTAGCTCATATGTAAGAGGGAACCTTTACTTACTACACAGTAAATTGAAAGTGTTGAAACAAAATATTTTATTTACTGTTGCTTTCCCTTTTTAATTTACCTTCTTTTTGCTTACTTTTACAGCTCGTTACAATTTTGAAGAGAACGGGGTTTTTTTACATCCTGCTAGAAGATGTCAAGGAAAAGCTCTAGGGATCCCAAGAAAGGAAATGTCTCCAGCTCTTTGGAATCAGAAGACATTAGTTTAGAAACGACCTTACCCACTGATGATGTCTCCTCATCCGAAGATCGGGAAGGTACCGTCAAAATTACTAGACAACTTATAGAGAGGAAGGAATTGTTGCACAATGTCCAGTTACTAAAAATTGAGCTTTCTCAGAAGAACTTGATGCTGGATAACTTGAAAGTGGAGTACTTGACAAAGGTAAGAGGATGCCTTTTTTTTTTTGTTAAATATTTTTTATTGTTTTATACCACACATTCCATTTCTATGTTGAACAGTGTGTTCTCTAGGTGCAAGGTGTCAACATATAAACATCATCATAGTCATTATAATAATATATATATAAAGAGAGATATAACATCAAACATTATTACAACACATACTATCTTCCATTATAGTATCGATTACACAACCCTCAAAATATTCACTCATTGATTTTTCTTTCTCATGTAATCCACATTTCACATGAATCCATTCCTCTAACCTCAATATCTGTCATTTAAGCATTTGTAGAATAGTTCCCATGATATAAAATTATCTGAATCTTCTTTTCCTTTGATTTTTAGGGTCAACCTATCTATCTCTGCACATTCCAGAATGTTTGTGATTATAATATCATCTGTAGGGGTTTCTGGGTTTTTCCAGCATTGTACATATACAATCCTGGTTGCTGTTAGGATATGTAAAACCAAATATGTGTTACCCTTATTATAGTTTCCTGGAAACTATATGGCTTTTTTACTGTCATGTACAAGTGTTTTAGGACTGAACTTGCTAGTGTTGATAGTTCTTGTAATAGCTCTGTGTTTCTCAAGTTTAGTAACTACTACTTTGTATTAGGATATAATTTATTTGGATCCATATCAGTCAGAATTCCAGCCTGAGAGAGGTGGGAAGAAGAGAGAGAGGGATGGAGGGGAGGGAGAGAGAAGAAGGGAGGGAGAGGGAGAGAGTAGGGAGAGAAGTGGGGCAATATACAGGTCTTGTATGGAAGTCAGGCGGTTCCACCACAAAATCGCGGAGGACAAAAGCGCGCTCGACGAAAGCGCGCATTTGACGTCATCACAGCGCGACGAAAACATCACGCTGTGATCGAAAAATGTNATGCCAGTTATCAGCTGCCTTCAGAGTCAGACATCAGTGAGGCAGAAGAACAGCTGGAGCCTGTTCCCAGTGTGCGCATGCACAGAGCTGCCAGGAGAATGGAACAGCTAAAGAAGGGGTCAACTTGGGAGTAAGGCCACAGGTGGACAGTGAATGGACCCTCCCAGAGGGAATAAAAGAGGAGAGAAAAGGGAGTGGAGTTTGCAGGAGACAATTAGTTTGCTTAATTGGTTTGTGACTCTCCGAGACTCCTTGCCAAGTTTTGCAGATATTGGCATGTCAGCTCTCCAAGCCAGATAAGGTCTGTGACTTTAAATCCTCCATTGAAAGACTTTGCTGGATGTGAATGAGCAGAATTCACAGTCAATTAATAAAAGTGGTTTTTGTTGGGCCCAGGAGTTTGCTTCATGCTCTTGGGAGACCTGGGTCAGAACAGAAGCTCCTGAAGGGAAGGCAGGACTTAAAAGAAATGAAGCCCCAACAGCCTGCGCTTTTGCTCAACAGTGAAGGGACTCAGGGCAGAAAACATCCTGCAGAAAAAGCACAGCTCCAACGTCTCCATGAAACAGAACTCAAGAAGCTTCTTGGAAGCGTTGAACGTCTTCAAAAAAAATCAGAAAGTCCAGTTGCCCCTTGAAAAAAAAAAGCACGCAAAAGCTAGATCTTTGCTTTTGGGGAGGAAAGGCTCCTCGGGCAGAATTTTGTCCCATTTCAAAAGAGGCAATACTTCTTCCCAGACTGACAACCAATGGACAATTCCCTAATCTCTGAACTCAGCCACCAGTGTACAATTTTCCTTGCACGAAGGTAAAAGGAAAGCACAGAAACCAAAAACACCATACCTTGTTTTGATCTTCCTCCTCTTTTTCAGTATCCTCTTCTTCATTCTTGGTCTCATCGTCAAGCAGAACCACAGAAGATGGAGCAGTCCAGGCATCCTTGGACAGCAACTCCACGGCTACGATATCCTCATGCACAGCACGATTTAAGTGTTTCAGCCCTTGTATTATTATCTTAATGGGAAGTAAACAATCAGATTTAGATACCTAAAGCCATGCAGGTGGTCAACTTACGACGACAATTGAGCCCCCCAGTTTCTGCTGGTAAGCGAAACGTTTTTGTTAAGTAAATTCTCCCCCATTTTATGAACATTTCTTCCTACAGTTGTTAAGCGAATCACTGCAGTTGTTCAGTTAGTAACACTGTTGTTAAGCGAATCTGGCTTCTCCACTGACTCTGCTTGCCAGGTCGCAAAAGGGGATCATTTAACTCCAAAACACTGCACCCATCATAAACATGAGTCAGTTGCCAAGCATCCGAATGTTGATCTCGTGACCATGAGGATGCTGGAATGGGCCTAAGTGTGAAAAACGGTACTAGGTAACTTTTTTTCAGTGTCGCTGTAACTTTGAACCGTCACTAAATGAATTGTAACTTGAGAACTTACTGTATTCGGAGAGACATACAAAAGAGTTGTGTTCCAAAAGTCCTGAGCTAAAGAAACACCCAATGGTCCATTAATGTGGATTAATATTAAAGATGACCCACTATATTCAAAACAAAAATCAGAGTTTCAGAGCAGCTCTTTTGGGAGGTATAACTAACTTAGGAAGTTAGTGGCGGCACAGTGGTTAGGATACAGTATTGCAGGCTAATTCTGCCAAATGTCAGCAGTTCGATCCTGACCGGCTCAAGGTTGACTCCGCATTCTATCCCTCCAAGGTCGGTGAAATGAGGACCCTGATTGGTGGGGACAATATGCCTACTCTGTAAACCACTTAGAGAGGGCTGGAAGGCACTATAAAGCAGTATATAAGTCTAAGTGCTGTTGCTATTAAGAAGTCTTTAATCTAGAAATCAATGTCAGCAGGTAGAGATAGTAAGATGTCAGCAAATTCCACCTGATCTTTAACCTCTCACAGAAATGCATATCTTCAGTGCCCACTGTACTGTCCATTCCAACATACAGGAGAAGTTCAGAGAAGACAATCCCTGCGATTCCCACACAGTTTTTCATTTCCTAGTCAAGAATTTCCACAGCCAATCAATATATCAAACCAACCTCTCTTTCTTGGTCATTGCCGTGAATCCAAACTGTGGCTTCCAAGTAATTGTCTCTGCTGGCTCTGAAGGTGCCCTGAAGGTAAAGGCCGGATTTAATGCCCTGCTGCAGTTTGCTGAGCGGGAGATGCTCCGGGAAAATGATCTTGCTGCTTTCAATTTCATTCTGTAAGAGAGATTTACACACCAAATGTCCCTTGCACTGTTGCAACTAATAAATGCATTTCGAGAATGCATTTCAGCCCCTCGGACTGGAGGTCTGATTCAGCTGCTCTCTTTCCACACAGGAGAAGGCAACATGGCAATTTCAGTCTCCTTATAGACCTTACTGCCAAAATTCAGGAATACATTGTCGCCAGTCAGCGGATCTGGCAGCAGATTCGGACAGTGGGGAGGTTGGGGAGGAACATGGCCCAGTCCTAGAGTCTGGGGAAGGCACTGACAAGTGCTCTGCATCAAAGGCAGAGATGGGGCCAGGACTGTCTGATAGTTATCAGCTGCCTTTGGAGTCAAAGATCAGTGGTGCAGAAGAACAGCTGGAGCCTGTTCCCAGTGTGCGCATGCGACAGGGACAGCTAAGGAACAGGGGCCGACTCGGGAGTAAAGGCACAGGTGGATGGTGAATGGCCCCTCCCATAGGGAATAAAGAGGAGCAAAAGGGGAGGGGAGTTTGCAAGAGACAAGTCATTCAATTCATTAGGGTGACAATCTGCTTGTAACTCTCAGAGACTCCTTGCCAAGTATTTTCTGGGTTTGGAAGATATCAGCCTGGCAGCTCTCCAAGCCTGATAAGGTCTGTGGTTGCAAATTCACCCTTGAAAGACTGTTTGCCGGGACTTCGCTGGAGGTGAATGAGAGGAATTCACATTAGCTTAATAAAAAGGGGTTTTGTTGGGACGAGAAGTTTGCTTGGTGGTTTTGTGAAGCCTAGGTCAGAACAGAGAGCAAAAAATAACACTGGAAGTTGGAAACATACCTCTTCATCGTTTAGGCAGGCAAGGCGATCCATAAGCTCGGGATAGCCAGTTAGGCTCTTTACATACTCTTCGCCTTAAAAATAAAAAGCCCAAAATTTGCACTTTGAGAAAACTACAGAGATTCTCAGTCATCCAGGTCATGATTGCTCCAAAGGTGCTTTTTTTCAGGAGGCAACGAGCTTTTCCAGTTTTTTTCTTTTGAAGACGTTTCGCTTCTCATCCAAGGAGCTTCTTCAGCTCTGACGCCGCAGCTGTCTGCAAGGAATATAAATCCTTCCATTCCCCACCATCCTATCAGAGCTGAAAAAACTTCTTGGATGAGAAGTGAAACCTCTTCAAAAGAAAAAAAAAACACAAGAAAGTCCAGTTGGCTTTTTTTTTGGGGGGGGGGGAAGCACCTTTGGGGCACCTTGAGAAACGAAGATCATTTATGCAGCAGGAAGTTCTCCTTCAGGGAGAACAGACAGCTGTGGGGAACAAATGAGGTACCAGCACACATTTTTCACTCAAAAGAATGAATGCATGGAAAGTTTATTTTAAAAAAATTAAAAAAAGGAGTAGACACTACAAAGATAGGCCAAAGGAGGAGCAATTCTGGTTCCCAGAATTCTTGGTAGCATTTTAAGCCCCAGGGGAAGAATTGCTCGCCCATCCCTGAGAAGGAAATTGCCAGAGGAAGGCAAGCTTCGCCAGATGCAGCTGAGCCCTTCGGAGGTTCTTAGAAAACAATCCATAGTGTAACGTTCCCGTGGTTCGTCCATGAGGCCAATGTTGAGAAAAGACAAGACACGAACTTTCTCGGGATGGAGCGACCCAGATTGGGGGTCTGAGAGCCCCTTTTATTGAGATAGGACAAAGGCAGGAGAAGCAATAGCATGTGCTTAAAAACAGCCTGTAAAAGTACTATTTCTAATCTACTGCTCAGAGAAGTTCTGTCTTGTGGAACGACAAAAGCGTGGTAGACTAAAGCACGCCTGATTAAAGCGTGTACCTGACGTCATCAGCAGCGCGACAAATACGACCGCGGAGAAAAAAGGGCGCTTTA